GACGAGAACAGAGGAAAATCCAAGTCAGCTAAAAGGAGCCTGCTGGGACACAGATAGCAATATCTGTATCCTGATTGGGCTTTTCAATGAAATGATGAAAGAATGTCAAATGCACATAAGTAAAGAATTAGGACCAATTAGGAACTTTCTTACGGAATGCGTGGGTTTGCTAGTAAGCCTGACAGAGCTCATCAGGAAGGGAGCAATTTCATACACCCCCACTCCAGCGGCTGAATTTCCAACAGAGCCCAGTATCTCAGAGAAGGTCCCAAAGAGAGCCACGCCCATGTCTACCAACAGTCGAGTCACACACCCCTCACCTAAAAAGAAACATCACCACCAAAGAATACACCCACTTCACAAGAAGAAGTCTAAAAACATAAAAGTGGGAAGGCGGACTAAGAGCCATACACGAACTAAGAAATTGAATTTTTCTAAGTTATTCAAGCTCCTGGAGAATCCCACAATAAAGGAATCAAATACAAAGAATACTAAACCCGTGACCCCAAAACAGAGCATTATCCAGCAATCTAAAGTGACATGTGCATCACAATCCCCTAACCCTCAATCAATGAAAGATCGGAACGAACAACTAGATAAAGACTGGCAAACCTCCTCTGCCACTGTGGAGACTAACACCCCCATTCACAATAAGATAACTCAGAACAATCAAACGCTGATCCTCAACAGAAGCAGATTGGTTATTTGCCCTATGTACAACCGTACAGAATTACATTCACTGGACCAACAAAGAACGTATATATTTTAAAAAATTGACTTAGTACTCAGAGGCCTCCTATTACAAGGTAACGTTATCAATGTAGATTTTCTCCCAAATGGCAATAAGTATAATCGAGTGATGCTGACACTTAAAGATGACTCGACCGCAAAACAAATATTAATTAATAAGGAAAAGCTGCAAAGGGTGGGCCTGACAGTGACTCGCCTATTCGAAGTGCCCGGCCCCCCCTCGCACCTCATCAAATTAAATAAGAAAGACATCTATTCAAAGGTGGTGGAAAACAATAAAGCTGAACATCAGAATAACCACCAGTCGCCTCACGAACTGGGTACCCCCACACACAACTTCTCCTTTGAAGAAAATACCTTAATTAGTCAATTCTGGACATTCCCACCTCTAATACAAGCTGAAATCCTAGAAAGATTAGAAACGCTAAGAAATAAGCTGGCCGGGAAAGACTTATATAAGGAAACTAAGGTGGACGTCCAAAGAAAGAGCAAGAGCCCTCCCAAAATGATAATCTCACAAGAACTCGATTCAGCGGCTCGTCGACCACGTAACCTTCAGATAAAGGCAGAGATTAATCTACCTGCAATCAAGAAAGTACAACTTACAAAGGAGAACAATGCATCGCTCCCTATAAGGAAAAATATGCCTAAGGAAACCTCACCAGGCTTCTGGTCCAAAATGAGATACTTAGATGAAGCGGAATTAGGCTACAACCAGGTAGAATACCCCCAGGAGGAGGCCTTGTATAGCAAAGGCCCAGTGTCTACCAATGTGAGCACTCTATATTTACCATCTGACACCATAGAACACCTGGGCAGCTCTCCATGTAAGGATGATAGTCGGCTGCCACGTAGAATGGTAAATTCCAACAGTACCTTGGAAGATAATTGACAAGGAGTGGATCTTGGTAAAGCCAACCTTAGCATTTTATCATGGAATATCGCAGGATGGCAAAAAAAGGCAGCTGACCCATCCTTTGCTAAATTTATCCAAGGCTACGACATAGTATTTTTACAGGAGACATGGATCACAGGGGACCTAGAAGTTAATGGCTTTTCCTCAATGTCCCTCACAGGATCCCCAAGCACTAAAGGGGGGAGAGTCAAGGGTGGCCTAGGCATTTTAATATCTACAAGGTTGAGGGCGTCCTTAGTAAAGTTAGAGACACTGAAACACCTGGCTATGGCCTTACTAGTGAAAAGTAGATTCTTCACCCTGCTACTGATTAAGGTATATCTTCCCCCCCAAAGAGGCAAGCAGCTGATTAAAAACACCTGGCATGGGCTGGAAACATACATTGATGGTTTGATGACTCAAACCCCTGCAGCTTCAGTGCTAGTGGCTGGTGATCTTAATGCCAGAATTGGCCAGTCTGACGAAGCACTATATGCACACTTCCACGACTCGCCACCCATCGTGGAAGAAAACCACCTTATACCCACCAGACTCTCAAAAGACAAGGGATGTAATTATGCAGGTCTGTGCCTATTGCGTCTTTCTAACAAGCTGGACCTGGTCATACTAAATGGGCGCAAGAATGGTGAAGACTTGTGGGGAATTTACTTTTATATCAAATGCAGGAGCTTCCACTATTGACTATGTTATGGTATCATTTAATCTCCTAAATAGAGCCCTTGAGTGCAAAGTGGAGGAGAGGGTTGATAGTGATCACTTACCGCTCTGCCTCCTCTTGGATGTAAGAAAAGACTTATTTTGCAACGATAAACTTGAAGCCCCCAGGTCCTCCAACATGGAGTTGAGATACTCACGTATTAGATGGTCCGAAAAGCTGAATGCCGAAACATCTGAAAGGCTATACTCGGACATATTCCTCACGAGAAGAGATAATCTCTTAAACTCACCATGTTCTGAATCTAGAATAATCTTGTTCCAGGATCTGATCTCACTTTTGCAACCCCACCTGATTCAAAAAAAGACATTGCGCCAACCTTTATTCCCCAACAAATCCAAACCCTGGTTTGATCAGGAATGTATTGCTACAAAGCGTTCTTTGCTGGATAAGTACAGGAATTACAAATCAGCGAACTTACCCTTGCTTCCCGCGGAATGGTTTGAAGCCAAACGTAAATATAAAGATCTGATTAAAAAGAAAAAAGCTTCTGGCCCAAAGGGGGGAGTGGCAACATTTATTAGAGGCCTCTCGAAGGAAAGACTCAGCCACTTTTTGGAAAATAGTCGCGAAAAGTTGGCAAGACTCCCCGATTGAAATTGATTATACTATACCAGTTGGGATTTGGGAGGCTTACTTTCTATCTTTATATACATCAAATCAACATCTGCAGGCCCTGCCCCCAGCTCCGAGTGATATTGGTGCCGAATGGCCCCCAGTAGCAACTGAAGAGATCTATAGGCTCATCCAATCCCTTAAACCTGGAAAAGCACCTGGCGTAGACAACATTACACCGGAACTGCTTAAGGCTAATGTTGAATGGTGGGCCCCTGTGCTAGCTGCCCTATTTACCAGCATAGATCAATCGGCCACTATCCCTGAGGACTGGGGATTAGCAATCATCATCCCTTTATTCAAGAAAGGGAGCCGATCAGATCCGGCTAATTACAGGCCAATCAGCCTCCTAAGTATCATTAGCAAATTGTACGCTGCCCACCTATGCGATAAATTAGTGGACTGGTTGGAACAAGACCACATTCTTTCAGAAGCACAGGCTGGTTTTAGGGCAAATCGGTCAACCTTAGACCAGGGCCTTGTTCTCCAACATCTTGCGGAGAAATATACATCAAGAAAAGGAGGTTCCCTATACGTGGCCTTTATAGATTTCAAATCTGCTTTTGATTTAATACCGAGGGACAGGCTTTGGGGAAAGCTAAGCGCCGCAAATATAAACAAACGCCTACTGTATCTCATCCACAGTCTATATGAAAATACACGGATCCGGGTAAGGTGTGACCGATAGGGCCACCTATCCAAGGAAATCCAAATCCATCAGGGGGTCAGGCAAGGGTGTGTCCTTGCGCCTACTTTATTTAACTTCTATATCAACTCGTTAGTAGGAAATATGGAGAAAGAAAATGCCCATCCCCCCAAATTGGCTGGTACGCCCCTCCCGGCCCTTTTATATGCGGATGACACAGTTTTAATTTCTTTTTCTTGTGTTGGATTAAGAAAACTTTTGAGATCTCTTACCAAATACTGCAGCATCGAACAACTAACAATTAACTACAACAAATCCAAAGTCATGGTGTTCTCTAAAAAAAGGAGGAGGCACAAATGGAGAATAGACAATCGCTCAATAGAACAGGTAGCAACCTTTAAATACCTGGGTGTAACCTTCCAGGAAAGGGGTTCCTGGCGCTTTCAGATTAATAATACTATTGCAAATGCAGAAAGATCTACCAAAGCGTTAATAAGATTCTTCTATGGGAAAGGGGGGCCAACACATACCGGCAGCCTCCCAGGTCTTTGCTGCCAAAATACTATCACAATTGTTATATGGATCCCAGATCTGCAGCTTTAAAAACCTTACTCTCTTAGAGGCATTCCAAACTAAGTTTTTCCGCTGCCTGCTGGGGATCCCCTCTTGCGTATCCAACATAGCGGTCCGTTTGGAGGTTGGGCAAATTCCTAACAGTACTTGGATATGGATATTGAAGATCCATTATTGGCTAAAGCTTATTTTCTTCCCGGTTGGGCTGGCACCTTTAACGTTATTAGATACCTACCAATCCAAATGGAAAGCTACACTGCTGGAAAAGCTTAAAGGCTTGGGGATCCCACAGCAGACCCTGATAGCGACAGGCTTCGAGAAAGCTAGGACTACAATTCGCCAGCGTATCTGGGACGTAGAATTACAATGCCACATGAGCGAAATGATCAAACATCCAGCAATAAGGGACCATGGGAAAGGTTTCTCTCCAGCTAACTATCTGTCAGGTCTTCAGGTACCCAAATACAGACGGTCTTTTACCCTCGCCAGATTCAACGTTCTCCCTTCTGCCTTACTTCAGGGCAGATTTGAGGGTAAACCATTCACAGCACGGGTCTGCCCTTGTGGCTTGTTGGAAGTTGAAACTGCTTCACATGTACTATTACGTTGTCGTCTTTATGAGGATATACGTTTGACTTTTATTACACCTGTTTTGCAAAAGTCCGGGAAAGAATCGGAACACCATAGTTTAAAATTACTGTTAGAGGGATCTTAGAGCCGCCTATTCTGAACTTGCTAAACTACTAAGGAGCAACGCAATTCCATTCAGGTGGGAATTTCCCCAAGGAATATCTTTTACCTTTAGAGGGAAAAAGGTCAAAGTTAGAACATTGGAAGAGAGAGATAAATTTTTGGCTACATACGGAGAGGACCTTCAAAAAGGAATTGAATTACCTTCTGGGCCTGGGGCAAAGCCAGCATTAACACCAGCACCTGGGGAACCCGAAGATCCAGAGAAGACACCACCCCTGGAGAAATAACCAGATAGATCCAGGATGTCTCTGCAATTGCTGAGTTGGAACATTAATGGTTGTAACATTCCGGAAAAAGGAAGAAAATATTTCATATATTAAAAAAGAACAATTGGACATTATCTGTTTACAAGAAACACATGTGACGAGGCTCCACAGAAAAGTGTTAATAAATAAAAGATTGGGCCAGGAATTTGTTTCGTCGGACAAAGTTAAGAAGAGAGGCGTGGTGATATATGCAAAAGAGAGCCTGTCACCTAAATTCTTATTTAAAGATGAACATGGAAGAATTTTGGCCATTGAGATACAATATCAAGGAGAGAAACTGTTGATATTAGGAATCTATGCACCTAATGAAGGGAAATCGGAATTTTACAAGAAGCTGCAGGGGACAATGCTGGACTATCTGGATTACAACAACATCATAATGATGGGAGATATGAACGGGGTCGTGTCAACTAACATGGACAAGTCACAAAGTCAAAATGTTACAAAAGACGGCAGACTACCTAAAACCTTTTTTGAAATGACTGACAATATGGATTTGATTGATATTTGGAGGACAAAGAACCCACTAGGTAGAGAAGGAACATTCTTTTCTGAAGCCCAACTGACCTGGACAAGAATCGACCAAATATGGATTTCTAGAGGCCTGGCACCTAAGGTCAGAAAAGTGGAAATCTGCCCAAAGACCTGCTCTGATCATAATGCAGTAAAGATGGATATGACACTACTACCAACTGGATCCTTTAGATGGAAGATGAATGACAATTTGTTTAGAGATCAGGAAATCACCAAGAAGGCCCAAAAAGTTTTGAAGGACTATTTTGAGATAAACATGAACAATTCGGTGGAAAAAGAATCGTCTGGGACGCAAGCAAAGCTGTAATGAGGGGATTCTTGATACAACAGAATGTAGTAAAGAAAAGAACACAAAATGAGAAAAAGATAAGATCTTGGATAAAATAAAAGAATCAGAGAAGAAATTAAGAGTGAATCCAAAGTCACAGCCAACTCTGAGAGAAATTAAACTTTATCAAACACAATATTCTAAATTGATAAATCAGGAAATTGAATGGAAGGTCAAATTAATGAAACAAAAAACGTTTGAGTCGGCGAATAAATGTGGAAAACTGCTAGCTTGGCAGTTGAAGAGAAGACAAAGATTAAACACGGTTACAAACTTAGAGGTTGATGGAAAAAACATTCAGAATCCAGTGGATATTAGAAAGTGTTTCCAGAGATATTTCAAAAAATTATACACCCAAGGGCCGCAAGACGAAGTTGAGATTAAACAATTTTTGGCAAAAAATGGACTATCTAAATAGTCACAAGAAAATAGGACAATCCTGAATTCTAAAATAACACGACAGGAGATTGAACAAGCCATTCAGAACATGCAACTTGGCAAATCTCCAGGGCCAGATGGGCTGACCTCCAAGTATTATAAGACATTAAAAGACTATTTGATACAACCTTTGATGGAGGTCAGCAATGAAATTATGGAGGGGAAGAGGGCACCGGATTCGTGGAAGGAAGCGTTTATCACATTAATACCAAAGTCGGAAGCTGAAAAGACACAACTTAAGAACTACCGCCCCATCTCCCTTTTAAATGTGGATTACAAAATATTTGCAGATATTTTGGCAAGTAGATTTAAAGTCTTAAATGAAGTAATTCATAAGGACCAGGCTGGTTTTCTCCCAGGTAGACATCTGTTTGCTAATACAAGGAACATTATTGACATTTTGGAACTTCTGCAAACAGATATAAATACAAAAGCAGTTTTAATTTTCATAGATGCGGAGAAGGCCTTTGACAATATCTCCTGGAAATTTATGATGGGAAATTTAAAAGAGATGGGAGTGGGACGGGGTTTTGAGAATGGGATTGAGGCGATATATTCAGAACAGAAAGCTAAATTGATAGTTAATAATGTGGTCACAGAAGAGTTCAAAATTGAAAAAGGGACACGACAAGGTTGCCCTATCTCCCCTTTGTTATTCATTTCGGTTCTGGAAGTGCTATTGAACATGATTAGAGGGGATCGGTTGGTGGAAGGAATTCAGGTCGGTCAGAAACAATATAAACTAAAAGCTTTTGCAGATGACCTGGTTTTGACCCTGCAGAAGCCAGAGCCCAGTACGAAAAGAGTATTACAATTGATTAATGATTTTGGTCGGGTGGCTGGATTTAAATTAAATAAACAGAAAACTAAGGTTTTGGGGAAAAATTTAACTGATACAGAGTCAGAACGGTTTCAGAATGAGACGGAACTCAATGTGGTTAAAAAAGTAAAATACCTAGGGGTAAATATAACAGCAAAAAATCTAAGTCTATTTAAGGACAATTATGAAAAATGCTGGACAGAAATTAAAAGAGACTTAGATAGTTGGTCAAAATTGAAACTTTCTTTGTTAGGCCGAATCGCTGCTATTAAGATGAATGTATTGCCAAGGATGTTGTTTTTATTTCAGACACTTCAGGTTTTGGACAAAATGGAGTGCTTTCAGAAGTGGCAGAGAGACATTTCTAAGTTTGTCTGGCAGGGCAAAAAGCCCAGAATTAAGTTTAAGATATTAACTGATGCAAAACAAAGAGGGGCTTTGCCCTGCCAGACTTAAAGTTGTATTATGAAGCCGCAGCGTTCTGCTGGCTAAAAGACTGGCTACTTCTTGAAGACACTGATGTGCTAGATCTGGAAGGGTTTAACAATGTTTTTGGATGGCATGCATATTTATGGTATGACAAAGTTAAAGCAAATAAGGCCTTCAAGAACCATATTGTCAGAAAATCACTGTTTAATGTCTGGACAAAATATAAAGACTTGCTGGAAAACAAAACACCAAGGTGGCTTTCACCTTTGGAAGCTAAGGCCGAAAAAGACCCAATATGGAGGCTAAATGGCCAAAATATTGGGAAATATTAGAAAAGGATGGAGACAATTGGAAATTGCAGAGTTTGGAGAAAATGAAAGACAAAGTGCGAGATTGGTTACATTACGCTCAGATTAAAGAAGTTTTTAAAAATGATAAGAAATTAGGGTTCCAGGTGGAGAAATCGAAACTAGAAACAGAATTGTTAGAACCAAAGATTAAGGTACTTTCAAGGATGTATAACTTGCTGTTGGAATGGAATACACAAGATGAAACGGTTAAATCGGCTATGATAAGGTGGGCACAGGACATTGGGTATAATATTATGTTTGAGGACTGGGAAAGGTTGTGGAGTAATGGATTGAAGTTTACCGCATGTAACGCTCTGAAAGAAAATGTAATGAAAATGATTTATAGATGGTATATGACCCCAGTCAAACTTGCAAAAATTTACCACCTGTCTGATAACAAGTGTTGGAAATGTAAAGAGTCTGAGGGAACGTTCTTCCACCTCTGGTGGACTTGCCCTAAAGTGAAGGCGTTCTGGGAGATGATTTATAACGAATTGAAAAAGGTATTTAAATATACCTTCACTAAGAAACCAGAGGCTTTCCTTTTGGGTATTGTCGGCCAAGGGGTGGCAAGGAAGGATCAGACATTTTTATGTATGCAACAACAGCAGCAAGGATACTTCTTGCAAAACATTGGAAAACTCAAGATCTACCCACACTGGAAGAATGGCAGATGCAACTGATAGACTACATGGAACTGGCTGAAATGACCGGCAGAATCCGTGACCTGGGAGAAGAAAGGATTGAGGAGGATTGGAAGAAATTTAAGAACTATTTACAAAAATATTGCAATTTGAGTGAATGCTAAATAAGATGCTAGACTAAAATAACTGAGCACCACTAAATTTAGAAGTTTTCTATGAAAATAAGTAAGACTGTGAAAATTTAATTCCCTTTGAAAATTATAAGATTATGAAATATAGAAGCGATATAAGAATTTAAATAAGATGATAAATTGCTGACAAAATGTTATAACGATGAAAGTGGGAGCGGGAGATGTGAGGAAGTCCAAAGAAAATGTGAAATTATGTTAAGACAAAGGTCATATTGTTTAATATGTTTATTTTTATTGTAAAACCCAATAAATTGCTTTAAAAAAATAAAATAAAATTACTGTTAGAGGACAAGAATCCCAAGACTACATTAAATGTAGCCAAATTCTGTGCGTCTGCAATTAATCGCAGGAAGCAAGTGGTATCCCATAATGACCAAACCCCCAAATGTTAATTATAGGGGGCACGCTAATAATTAACTTTAATTTTTTATATTTAAATCCTTGTTATATTCATATTGTCCTCTGTATTTCTGATATATATATATATATTTATGATCTGTGATATTGTGTGTGTCGACGCTGGTCTGTGACCGTATTAATAAATTCATTCATTCATTCACAGTAGAGTCAGGACTACAGATCAGGTGCTCTGAGCCAGTGTTTGCTGGTGTCAGAGGTTGTCATTATTGGGTAGCCATAAAGTCCATGGAACCAGGTGGCCTCGCTCCTTCTTCCTCTTGCTGCTTATTTGCATGCCAGCTCAGAGGACCAATATTGAAGTGATGTGGCTATTGCTTTTGAATGTCACAGGAGGCAGGTTTGTGGGAACTACAGCAGGTAGGGAGGTTTTTATATCCTTTGATGCAACATCAAAAGGGGAAAATGCATCCCCCAAAGATCTGCATATTTAGAAAATCTAAACAGAAATACATCACACCATAGTGGAACCACCTGTGACCCACAGGTGACCCATGTGCCTGCTCAGTTTGCTATCTGGGTGCTGGTGGTTGATGGACATCAGAGCTCCTGCCCTTCCTTCTTATAATTCTTTATCTTTAAATTGGACTTGGACTCGGAAGCCTGTCAAATGTTGTGCTTCTTCCAACAGAGGACTGTCCCCTGGAAATTAGAATACATGGCCACCCTACTTTGGCATGCAGAGCACATATAGGGCCACTGAGCTATGGTCCCTTCAAATATACAGTTGTACATTGGTTCTCCAATGCCTTGGTACTCGGATGTTTGCTGGTTTTGGCTCCTGAACACCGCAAACCCGGAAGTGAGTGTTTTGGTTTGTGAACGTTTTTCGGAAGCTGAACGTCCAATGCACCTTCTATGGCTTCTGATTGAGTGCAGGAAGTTCCTGCAGCCAATCGGAAACCGTGCCTTGGTTTTTGAATGGTTCCAGGAGTTGAATGGACTCCCGGAATGGATTCAGTTTGACAACGAAGGTATGGCTGTACAGTGACCTGGTTCACACAATATAGTAAGCCAAACCATGGCTCACTGAGACCATGTAAATTTGTGGGTTCTCAGAGGGAAACTCACAGCCACATTTCCTCCCATCCCCTGGTCTTTTTTCATTCCCATGCTGTGTTGTGCTAAACCAAAGTTACTATTAAAGTTTATATTACACCCTTTAGGTATATTATCCAGGCAGCTTACAATAAAATATTTAAAGCACCATAAAAATCACACAGGGAAAAATCAGCATATTGTTCTATATGCCATTCCAATCCTCCTTCATCTTTATAATTACAAATTACAGAAACAGCAAAAAAATTATACAAGTAAATATAAGCCTTTGTAGAGTGATAAGAGTTTGTTTTTTTCTTGAGTGGAGGAGTACACACCTCCTTGTCAGTGCCAATTAGAAAGCAGATGGCACTGTTGAGGGACATTCCTCCTTTATTACTTTATTTATTAACTTCATGCAAAGACTTGAAAAGAAGCCAGTACGCTGGCAAGTTCTCCTTCTTCAGCAATTTCCTATGTATGTAGGACTTTTATGGAGTATCTGCCAGGGACCTTTATTCATGAATATCCAGGCTAAGCAACGGAGCAGAGTAATAAAGAGCAGTTCAAGTGAAACACAGAGATATAAAGCGACGGCATTTCAGAATGAATTCATTGAAACCAGGGTCAGGAGAAGTCAGAACACATCATTTGGCTTATTACCATTAAAATGAGGCTGAAG